TGAACACCAACATTATTATTGAAACCATTTTATTGATACAATTCTGCAAAGTTGACAAACACCTTAATGACTAATGTTTCGGCAAATCGGCCTTCTTCGGAGCGCGATAATATAANNNTTCTCCGGGGTAAAACATCTTCACACCCTACAAAGCCCCTGTTATCAACTTTATCATCGTACATTTAAAATAAGTCAGAGTCTTTCCTGTTTGACAGAATGAGCTTCCATGAGTCAAGTAGGCATGGAAAAATCGGGTGCGTAGAGTTCAAAGGTTATCGTCAGAGGCTCACCTTAGTGAGTGTGATTAGCCATTAATTGACATTCGTCCTTTTTTCGATTCATTTTTGAACAAATGACCCGAATCTATACCTCCAGGGTCCTTATCACAGATGTTTGAGTTTCTCGTGCCGAAAACTCGATTGAGACGTATATTTTATTAGATTGTTTCCTGTGGTAAACTAAGGCAGTTGAATCGATCTAGCTAATCAGAATATCACCTATCCAGCCATTAAATTTTCTTGTCCATGCAGTGGTCTGCCTGTATCGCCTACATACCATCTCCAAGTTCCAGCAAATGGTCTTGTAGACCACACTAACGACAGTGCAGTCACCCACCTCATCACTAGGACAGATAGCACAATCAGATGTTGCACATGTGGGATTGAAGAGGCGATCACGAATCAAAAGACGCACTGAATGTCGGGAGAGATCTCCGCGATACAGGCAGTGTTTTCCAACTCCAATCTACCTGAATACTCCCTTATAGCTCACTTTAACAGAGATAAAGTTCACCGCAAATGTGATTCTGCGTTCCGGAATTCCATACTTGGCCTATTGTCTCTACACCAGCTCGAAATTCTCGAATGTAGTTCTTTCACGCTGAGCAATATTGCGTGCTATGCTCACGACCTATTTTCTATTATATACTACGGTGAAGGCTATCAGGCAGTTGGAACAATCTAATCATTACTTGTGTCGTTTGAAAGGGATGCGCCGATTTCTGAACAATGATAGCTTTACGTTTCGTGCTGGAAGTTTATTCAACAAAGTGAGTAGGAGTTTCGTGATCCCAGGTTCCTCAAAGGTGTTCAAACGATACGTAGCTGCAGCATTATCCAAAGCCTCAACCTCCTAGTTCTTTGAAATTAATGGTTCTGTTCTTCCTGGGTGCATAGGCTTTAATGAACTTATTTGTTGGTATTTACGAGTGTTTGTGTTTTGTGTTTTGTTTTCTTGTTGCTTCTTATGGTAAATTTCTGGCTTTTCTTGCGTTTGCCTTAGCAACGTAATAAACATAACATAACATATTTTCATTGCTGGAATCTCTGTACTATTTCTGTGAGTAGTCTTGTGAGACCTTACTCCTGCTACTTAGTCGATAAGGAAGACTAGCCAGTCTCTATGGTGCTTTTTGCGAGTAGGTTCCCTATGCTCAGGCTGTGCATTCAATGAGGCAGAACAATGCAGTGTACCTACTTTCCTGCAGCAAGCTGTAAAGCAACCGTCGACGTTTCGACAGTACAGCATTGGGAGAAAATTTATGTTTGGCCATGATGGCTATGCCTACAATAGGCGTCAGTCTTTGCTTATGATGAGGCTCCATTATGCATTAGTACCTTTCCAGCCACCTGAAGTAGTTACTCTCTAGGCTTTCCTTGAAAAAAAAAACCACTGTTTGACATATTGAAGGGCCATACCTATTGAATGCTTGAGAACATATTCCAGATTGATGTGATTTTTTCCCTATCTTTACCAGCCAGGCTGCCGTGAGTGGACGATAGCAATGTTCGATGCATACTTCCACACTCTTTGCGAGATGGGCATCGTCCTTTTGTTTTGGTAAGTTGCCCAACGCGACTGAGACAAGGCTTGTTTTCTGTCAGGAAAGGACTTATCGTGACTGGTTGATTGCAAAGCAGTTAGTGGTTTAATGATCAATTCGCTTGAGCCAGAAGCAAGCACTCGATTGGTTGATTGGCCTTCTTGCTACAGAGCTTTTGTCAATCGCATCTAGATCGTTTCTCATTTGGTCGACGCACTTTTCTCGTTTGAAAATGGCTAAATTTTTTGACCGTTCTCAGACAAAATCATTCTGCTTAAAAATGACGAAACGTCTAGCTGATCGACAACAGACGAGACCCTTTATTGCTGCGCTTTCTATGCCATTTCGTGAAAGGCAATCTCATCTAAGGCGCCAAACTGCACCGAGGAGGGACTAATAGACTGAATTACCCATTTCACAATTCTGGCGTCTCTATGAGCAGGTGCAGGAAAAGACAGCATTATGATGAGCGTAGCCATCAGAAAGCACTGCGGACCTCGCCACGGCTGATAACCCTTTCGCGAGACATAAATAAGTTTCAAGTCTCCTTATTGAATATTGCATTGGAAATCACAGCAATAGCCGTCTGGATGTTAAGCAATCCTCCGTCTTACATTGGCAAAGAACTGTTGCCACTTGTGACCCTATATCGGGCTCGGTCGTGAGGTTCGTTTAGGCTGCACTTTACTCCCAATGGATTGAGAAGGAACGGAACTAGCGTCAAGTTCCAATGTTGAGCGACGATATGGATGAGGATTTTTCAACACAATACTTGAATGTCCAAGCGAACCCAACCACTGGTAAAAGACTGGTCCTCTGGGACTGGATGGTGCAATGAAACAGACGCGGAACTTTTCTCTAAGATAGCTTTCACTCGCTCGAATCAAATCCCGGATTGGAATTGATCCTTTCACCACTGTGTTCTACAAACCGACATATCAATTATGGCGAGTAACACAGTTTTTTTGAAAAATACCAGTTCACCAAGGGAGACATGTCATCAGGTATGATGAGGAACGGAACGACTACACTGCGACGTTCAACTTTTGTGTCTGAATGATTTTTACAATTCTCTTAGTCTTCCTGTTTCTCTTCAACAAACATTCATTTCAATTGTATTTGTTCTTGATCAACGTTGACTCCACCTGGGATATGGAACCTATTTATCTTGCTCTGTCAACTGGTAAAAAACAGTAGAGAATGTGGAGCCGGGTCTCAATAGCGCAGCGCATGAGCCTAATGCCTGGCAAATACAAGCAATTACGTGTTTCTAGTCAGAGGACGGGCAAATGGCTTAAAAATTGTAGCAGGCCACCATATCTTCCAAGATCTCAAATAAGTGTAATAAAGAAGGTGAGGATCCCACTCCATATCAAGGTTGTGTGTTGAGATTTTTGACAGCATAGTGCACTCAATTGATCTTGTTAGGTGTTACAAAGGTGGTTTCTCTTACGCAACATCAAATGAAGAGGTTCTATAATGAGCCACTATACAGCAGAAAGGAACCTTAGACAAACATAAATGGAGAACCTCATTGAGCAATTGCTAGTGAAATCTAAGCAGTTTTTACACCGTCAACAGAGTACTGAAAAACGAACTTATGTAAAAAAGAAAACATGAAGAAACTCAGCAGGGAATAAAAGTATCGAAATTGGGTTTCTCTTTTTTGTGTACGTTGACTACGAATACATTGACTTTCAGATATGATCGCAAAAGCAACGAGCAATCACGAGCAATCAAATGATAACGAAAATCGGGAGTAATGCCTTGAATGTACGTACGAGAACGGAAATTCATGAAATCCGAGTATGGCGGTTGTATGACGTATGAAACACTTTGTTTCAAGCCAAAAAACCTCTAACGCCTTATTTCATCCAGCCTACAGTTATTTTCGATTGTTTTTTTTTCAAAGCTGTCAGCACGTCCAGGAACCCAACAGGCGCCCTCCTCGATAACTTAATCACTTTTCTCGAATGACTACAACCTTGAGAAATATAATTGTCGAGGGACTACAGAACGAAGGATACAGGCTTAGTTCTCTGAGCGGAAATCGGCAAAAGGTAATATCTTCGGAGCGTGCGTATGGTAGTAAGCATTTCGGTACTAAATACATATCACGCTTTTCAGGAATCAGGAACTGTTGTCTGAAGTTCCGCCTTTCTCGAAATGTCAGTTCCAGAGCAAGGAAGTCCGTCAATAACTCGATTTGCACCTGAAACCCATTCTCTTTGTGCGGGACACATTGAAAAATGGAAAACACCCTTTGCGAAGTGATGCACTTCTTATAAAAGGAGCTGTGTGTGGAGACATCGTTGTGCCAATAAAAAAATGAAGATCACTGAAATTGCGTACATAAAATTCACTTTTTGTGTTTTTCAACACGCAATTGCAACTCTGTCACTATATCGGTTTGATCCCCATGTCCTTCTACAAAAGCTCTCGTTGACTTTGATCGTTGTTTTAAAAGCCCAGATGTTATGTTAGATGTTAGATGTGTGAGTGATGCTCTGTCTTTACGTAGTGAAACCAACCATTCTGAAACTGCTCGAAATAATTATGAGGATTCAGAGTGCGATTCCTAAAATATTCGTTGAGCGCTGATGGATAGCACTTCCCACAAGCATGACGAAGGCACTTCTACAAACTTTACGCATCACACTTATTGAACTGGTATTACGAGGGTTACGATGTTGAGAAAATGTCGATGTCATCGCATGCAACCACCTTGATCAATGACTGTGGCCAAACTACTAGTACCCTTAGCTCAAACTCCAATCCATGACCCTAAAATTGCAGGAGGACCTAACCTGCTCAGAATTCATTCGAGGCTGATAAAGTGAATTTTTAATAGCGGCACACATTTTTACGCCCCTATGATTTGTTATGCAAGCAAAGGAGCTCATATTATTTTCTTCTAAAACACAAATGGCAATAAAAAGAGCTGCAGCGCATCATTTATTTACTCAAGATTGGCTCGTTTGTGATCCAAGCCTGGAAGACTTTGCTCTCTCACCAGATAACTGGGATGAAGCCGGCTTTCTTTGTTTTTAAACCGTTTTTCTACATATGATCAAGTGGAATCGCTACAGTGCTGTGTCCAGTTGTACTTTGTGTCCACAGAACTCCACCTCCACTCAAATGCGCTTTAAATGCTCGTCGTCTTCTCCATCACACCAAAATGCTTCACGAACTGTTCATCGCCTCCGTTCTTTTTGCATTCACTCGAGCAGGTAGGACTACTGACTCAACCTTGGTTGCATCTAACTATCTAGCTATTGCTCCAGATTTCGCCGAGCGTCCTGCGACTTCCAACAGAGGCATGTGCCCAGGAGGCATTGTCCCACTCGCTATTGATTGTGATCCAAAACATCCATGGCCTCGATGTCCTTCGCAAACGTACTGCTTCGCAACCGACTCTGTCGACTTGGGTCCCTATTACTGTTGCCCAAATCGTTAGTTATTTGGCTTTTTATTCGGACCCCCGCAACGGGGCAATGTTTTTCATTGAACTGCCTTCGTCTGTGGGGGCGCAAGATCGTTAGAGATCTCATTTCTGCCAGCCCTCAAGAGAGAACTAAATATATCGAAGATGATATTTTGACTCGCAGCTCCAGTTCCTGAGGCTTTTTGAGGGAGAATTTTTCTGTAAAGGACAAACAGGAAAGAGCAGAAACATTAACAAAATAGTCGTAGTATGCATGGGAATATTCAGCGCCTCATTTTCCTTTATACCAGGCCTGTAGCGGAACAGAAATTGTTCTAAGGGTAAGGGTAGAGGTCAAGGTACCTCAAGGTGTATATGACTGAGTATAAGGAGAGGAGAAATTGAAGACATTGCCCGTTTTGTCAAACGGGTTTGATTTGAAGATACAAGATTGTAAGGATTCTCTATATTCTGTTAAGAGCTGCTTAACCTCCAGGAATTTTGAGCCTACAAGTGAACAGTTCAACTATAACCAAAATTCTCCAGTTTTTTTTGTATTAGTCTTTTTGGCAAAGCTGTCATACTTTCATGATATCGGTGAAAGGTCATACATATGAGGGAGTTCTTGAAGGCGCCCTATGGTTGACCCTGCTTCTCTATAAAATGATAAGACTAGTTCCGTGAGAAACAGCCAGTTATCACATCTAGAAAGGAATCGTCGATGCTGTAGTTGTTTTTATTTTCGAGTCGATATATTCAAACTAGTGAGACTTACTAGAGCGGTAACTAAGGTATGATCGTAATGGAAAACCATGACAAGGGCAAGTGTTGATAAAAGCTTTCACCTCCTTTCTAGGTTCACCAAACGAGTGTAGAAGAGCCGCTGGCAGAAGGAGGAGTATTATCCAGATTCTGAGCTGTCTTTGACTTCGCTTCGCGAATAAGGGATTGGGGTTTTTTAAAGAAACCTTTTAGTGCCCATTCCATTCATCCCTTCAGTTTTCCATTATAACTTCATTCGTAGGTAGGTTCTTACGGTAGCTCTCACATAGGCGATCTTATCAATAGTCCAATTTACTCAAAATAATCAATTGGTTCACTCTTCTAACATGAACTGTTTCGACTTTATTCAATACTATAAACTCTTTAGGGAAACTTTACGATTTTAGATTGTGGTCGAGTAAACAAACTGCTCGATGACCACCACGTACATTGCATTGCCAATCCCAAGCTTTGGCTAAATTATTCTGAGCTGTCTTTGACTTCGCTTCGCGAATAAGGGATTGGGGTTTTTTAAAGAAACCTTTTAGTGCCCATTCCATTCATCCCTTCAGTTTTCCATTATAACTTCATTCGTAGGTAGGTTCTTACGGTAGCTCTCACATAGGCGATCTTATCAATAGTCCAATTTACTCAAAATAATCAATTGGTTCACTCTTCTAACATGAACTGTTTCGACTTTATTCAATACTATAAACTCTTTAGGGAAACTTTACGATTTTAGATTGTGGTCGAGTAAACAAACTGCTCGATGACCACCACGTACATTGCATTGCCAATCCCAAGCTTTGGCTAAATTTTCCAAATGCAAGGTTCTTTATTTCACTACATATTTCTACGAGCGTTTGACACAAGAAAGCTATAATAATTCCGTTAAATTCGGGCCTAAGGCAGGTGTTGAACCACTCGTGTGGTGAGAGTTTTTGAAACCGCTTAGAGTGCTCGACAGCACCGCCGGTAACTCGAGACATCCGCGGTTTTTCTTTCCGTTTTGTTTGCTTTCGTCCACATCAAAGTCGTCTTCACTGACCATGACACTTTAGTGCAAACGCATTTGCAGTGAGATTCTAGCTCACCTGTAGGGTTATATTCTGCTCCACGGCTGTTTCAATATTAATTGGAAGCATTCAAGAAAAAGTGAAAGAAATAACTGAACTCTCCCCAGGTAGTGCTGGATTAAGCACAATATCAAACGGAGGTGTTTGTGATCCATTCCAGGCCATTGCTGTCAGAAAAAGTTATCAACCGTATCTGCCTTTGCCGGGGCTTAGTGAGCAAAATTGTAAGCAACTTCAAGACATGATCGTTTGCGAGCGTAATAAACTCCTAAAACGTTCTTGTGAGATCCTAACGATATTTTTCAGAATTTCTTCAATGCTACTCAGAAATAGGCAATGGTTCCATTAGAAACCCTTTATCCGAGTAGACAGTAGATAGATTTTTCCAGGAAGTTTCATAACCCCACTTTCGAGCAAGGTCCCAGGCTTAGAATCAAAACAGGTATAAGGTGCATTTTGCTATGCTACAATGCTTCAGAGAACCCTACGCAATGAATTCTGCGTAGATCTGGACAAGTAATTGTCTGATGATGCTATATCTGAACTATAGGGCAGCTGTAGTCGGAAGCCTCATTCAAACTCTAGAAATTTTGATGAGTGGTCGAAGATACATGCGGTTTTATATTGTCCTGACGGCAACCATGAACTTTACGATTGGCTAATTCTAAACGCCCTGTTCTTTCGCTGCCTTTAAACTGTCCAGCTGAGTACGGAGTCGTTCGGAAGTACATAGTCACTTGACTGTGCGTTGTAGCTCTAAATAGGTGATTTCCCACCATTCCCCAGCAACAGAGCACAGTTATCAGATCATGGATTTGGGTTTTTGAAACTGTTAGTGTCGGCTTAGAGGGATTATTACACGTATTTCCGCTCTACGTTTCCTACATGATCCGATTTCCACTTTCGATTACCATGCACTTCAAAAAGAGCGATTTCTTCTACGTTCATGCGACGAATCTCACACAGAAACGCGGACCAACAGACTGCCCACTCAGTTTATGAGCTACCCGAACATCAAGAACACCCGAACATCGTCAAATTTGATTCATTGATCCTTCCTGCTATTCCAAGGGTTCCTATGCCTCTATTAGTTTCGATTAGCACTTTGATCCGTCGTTATCATCATATTATCATCCGCGACCATTGCCGATCCTTGAAGGTAATTCCACCTTGTCCACACTATGTGAACCACTGGAGTACCGTACATTCTTATAGAGCACTGTCTCCAAAGATATCAGAAATCTTTTCCGCCGTTTGAACTGCACTTCTACTTTTTTGGTATAAGAAAAAATTGAAATGTCAAAAATGCTCCTTGACTCCTCCTTGACAATAGCTCTACAGAAATATAACGCAAGAGATATTGACTCACTCTAGACTGCAATTTTGAGGTATGTTTACTTTATTCAAAAAATGTACAATTTATTAAAGTTGTAGCGAAGTCCTTCTTGAAAAATCCTCAAATTTCAAAAAACCCAATGAATTCGAGCCCACATCAATTAAATAAGTGAAGTTATCGCATTCATTTATACCTCCTAGGTATTGGATCTATACAATTGTTCATGCAGAATTCAAATGAAGTTTTTTTCAGCTCCGACTGATTCCGACAACCTCAACAAAGTGCCTTCGTCGAATTCCGCTAGGACCTCTCCTGCAACTCCTCCGAATCCACAACTACCTCCTTCCAACTCGCTCCAGGCAATCCCTCAGACATTTCCTTTCAACTTCCTCCGACCAAATCCTCAAACGCTTCCTTTCAACTCACTTCAGTCGAAGCCTCAAACGAACATCGCTCAATTAGTACAAAGAAACGTAAGCTGAAGCGACAATGTCTTGTAATCCACTCTTTACAGAAAACCAACACTTTTTCATATTTTTTATTTACCAGGTCATTTCGGAGGAACAATTGCGCAGAATCAGCGAAGCGATCGCCCAATGGCTGAAGAATCAAGGCAATGTTAATATCGTCAATCAAAACAAATAAAGTTCAGATCAAAAAATTGTACGCAGCACTATATTTGTCCTGTAGCAAGCACATGTGGTGTAGTGGCAAATGACGTACACTATCACACACATAGTCTGGGAATGAGTTAACGGAACCAAACTTGCCTGGGTGATTAGAAGCACTAAAATGTATATCGGCTAGCTACCTCAAGTCATAGCAGAGATAATGGTTTTACAACTAATTCCACGTCTTCAACTCATCCCTTAACCTGCCACTCTTTAGACCGACTTTCAAATTACGTCGCTGTCGATGATATAAGAAAGACACCGTTTGTAGACGTTGTACAGGTGGTAACTAGTCAATGGAAGCTTTACCAGCTGCAGAATTTGAGGGCGTCCATAGTTCCTGAAAAGCTGGAATCGATAATTCTCATCAGAAAAATGATGAAGTTTTTCGTTCGTTGATGCACTAGACGCAAGCTACCCACTTTTTCATTTTCACGCCCTGTTCTGTCGCTCCTCTCTGCCACTTTCTTGGGATGATCAGGCAGGCGCGCGCCTTGGTCCTGCTACGAAAGCACTTTCAGCCGAAAGTATGTCAGAGAGGGAGGGGATGCTACGTGGCAGTTGATTGCTGACGACTCTGACCATTATCAATCTCGGAGCTACTGTGTCATTCATCGTCTTCGACCGGTTGGGTATGGATAATCCAGTAGTGGAAAGAGCCCGGAACCTTCGGATTCTCCTCGTCTCAGCTTTGATCGAGAACCGTGCTGAATCTCAGGTTGTTGGTAAAATTATCCTGCATACCTAGTAATCTTGCAGCCCATGATTTCATTCATTTGTTACTTATTCATTGGATCACTTTTTTCAGTTTGGTTCTCACAAAATATGCATGAACGTACTTTATATGTACTCGTGGTAACGGAGCCGTTCGGGTTCAACAAGGGAAAGCGAACGGGCAGTGCTGACACAGATAACATCGGCTCGACGCCTCCACCATATTGACTACCGATGCACAGGAGCAGGGCAAGGAGACCAAAGCTGACCTGACGTAGTAACAGGAATAGGCCGAAAGTGCAATAGAGATTCTTTACCTCCGTTATTATCTTGTTCAAACTGTCAGCAGTATTTCTGACAAAAAAGAGAAATAAATGTTCAAAACTTGATAAGGAGACAGACTGCGAGACGCGCACCTTAAGCAGTCGGTTCCTCGAGCACTCCAGCAGGAGCTGCTCTGGAGTAAACGGGAATTCACATCAGTGGCTACTTGGCTTGCATGTTTTTGGACGCTGTAGCCACATTTATCAATTTTTATATCCATCGAGGATACATCCTGGAGCACTCCATCTACAGGAAACTTTTGTCGTCTTCGAAGGTTTAACGACCCTTCACTTCTGATCCACGGAAACTTCGTTTTTAAGACGAAGAGTTTTCTGATCGTTGTTGTTGATGTTTCTGCCGACTTCGGACAGAGTTTGGTTCATTATGTCTCGGCACTGCCTCTTTTTAAAGGCACTGTTCACGAAAAAATGGTTTCGGAGATCTGCACATGGTTTGAATTCGACGCCCCCTCTTATACCATTTGTGCAGGAATGAGGTCGGAAAACGGTCTGCGTAGGGCACAATAAGGGCAGGAACAGTGGGGCACGAGAGGCCTCCGCCCTTCGCTAGGCTGACTACGAGTTCTAAATGTCCTTCACCACATTCGCATTGGAGCGATGTGTCTGCTAGGGTGTGTTGTCTGCTATTGCAGACATTGCGTCGCCTTCGTGCACTCGCCCAAACACTCTCTAACCGCCGTTATCTCAATGTGAAACTCGTCCAACCCCCCTTTCCAGCTCTTTTTTTACCCTTTCTATTTCTTTTTATTCATCGTTTTTTGCGCTTTTTTCGTTGTTATCGCTTTATTCTAGAGTAGTTCTATGAATTCCCGTCAAAAAAGGGTACCCTAAATTTATCGTAAACGGTGCCTTTAAATGAATTATTGAAGACTCTGCCTATGAACTGAACTAAAACACAGATCTCAGATACATCGTTTTACCAACTGAGTATCGAGTTTAGGAGCCCTCACATTCGACAACTAGTTTACGAAATTTTATGGAAACGGTTACATATAATTTAGTGGGTCAGACAGCAAAAAGAATTGAGATGCTTGTGCGCATATATACAAGCAAGCAAAACTGCAAATGTTCTTTCCAAGAACTGGAGATTCAACAAGTGGTCCACACCACGTAGACAATTCTATGTATAAAGGTAACACATTAGTGACAAAATAAAAAAACTTGCAGACATATAACAGCACAAACTAGATTCGCATAGGCTTATGCCTAAAAATTACATGTACACATTTTTCAGATCTCACAACAGTTTCCTTTCAGGAAAATAAATCCGATATGTTCTCTGGAATCAGTAACCGTTAGCAACTGCACATATGAATGAAAATGATGAGACCTTTGGTACGTATAAACATTACAAATGCATGTATTATATATTCAGAAATACGGTACACGATCGGACCGGTATCAAAAATTAATTAGAAACGGAATACTCTGATAAGTCGATAAGGGGCATTGTTATAGCGGAAAACGATCTAGAAACGATGCAACAGTAGCCATTTTTCCAGCCCTTTGAACGTTGATGAGCACGTTAGCAATTCTTTTAAATTCTGTTGCACCTTTTGTGGATAGTCTTTCGCTGTAACAATATATATATATATATATATATATATATATATATATATATATATCGACTCTCGGGAGAAAAAAGTTTTTTCTCCCCTAATCAGTACATGGAGAACCAGTGCAATCGTGAACTGGGCATCTAAATAGTATGTACTCCAACAGAACGCGCCGAGGGAAAGCAAAATGAACAACAGTCTCAGAAGTTGTAGGCACCGGAGAGATACACGTATCTCCATAAAATTACCACTGAATTACACGAGATAAAATACATACAGCACAAGTTTTGAACTCGGAAAAACATTAATCCAATAAAATTGCTCGATAATACAGCTCTTATTCCTTATTTCTACACTTATGTCGCAAAACTCAAGACCCACTGATTTACGTTTTCCTTTCACGGAAGCTCTGTTCACGCCGATCACAATGGGATAGGCTAGTAACATGACAACCGGCATTTGTATCGGGCTTTTTTGCAGCTCGTGTGTTGATGAGAAGGAATTCCTCAATAGCTGAGACACAAAGCCGGATTGTCTATATCCGTGCGATCGGCGGCCAAGACCACAGTGGATAAAGCCTTTTAACCATTCACCATACAACACATCTATGTTTTGGATTGAGGGCAGCATGGGCGGGACAGGAGAATGCTTCAGCAAATTCGCGAAGATTTGACAGGACCCCTATCACTCGGAATATTTCAGGAGAGTGCTCGTCAGTAGTCACCTGCTGTATAGCTGCCGCTTCTTTCTTTTGTCCACACCAGAACTGAAATAGAGCTACAGTTGTATACAATTCCCGATAAGATGAGAAAGTGAATTCAAAATCGATAAATGTTTTAAAATGCATTTGGCGACGTTTACGAGGGTAGAATTTTCATACTGGAAAGTTGAAAAGAAGGAAAAAGGCGATTGTCAAAAATTATTAGGGCTGTCCGAAAACTCCACAAAAGAGATTGCGCGTTTTCGATTTTTTCAAAGCTTGGCGTATTATTTCCTCTGAAACTTTCTGCAGAAATGGCTAAGATACTTCTATTCACAGGTCACCTCGAGAATGTTTAGAGAAGCTTGTTTGGAAATTTGCAGTTCTTTTGCTGCATGAAAAGACGAAGTTAGCTTTAGTTCGGGAATGATGTAGAAATTCCTCGAAATATTACTGTTCTGATAGTAGAGAAGTTTTTTCAGGAAACTGTTTCTAAAGATCGTAATATCAGAACGATAACTCTTGGAAAATTAGAGATGGAATTACGCAAAACTAACGTGTGCATAGCTGAGGAAGAATATCTGTGTGTTGGTGTAGTGCTGAAGCCCTGGCAGACGCGCCTCTTCTCCTTCTGTAGCCACATACTTCTGGTAAGCCTGAATTTATTTTAGGTAACGCCTAAGGTTTCGGACGCTAGAGAATTCCCAAACTATTTGGAATCCTTCATCGTTCAGTAGTTACCATAAGAGCTTCCTTAACTCCTCCGTTGTCAGCTATGTTTTCTCCTTGTGTTAATTTACCATTGACCTTAAATATTTAAATTTATAGCTCCTTATACGAAGAGCAAATGAGCGACAAACCTTGTATGTAGTCTTCGGGACAGTATAGTTGCCGTACTGTTCAACAATACACCGTCTTCTTTCATCGAATGCCTCCAAAGAACGCGTACTCCACCAATTATGTAAATTTCCGTCTTTGTCATACTGAGAGCCTACAATGTTTTGAAGTGGTCAACGACGTANTCGTCGAATCCGTGAGTAATTTCGTGTCCTATGACAGCCCCGATAGCACCGTAGTTCACAGCTTTTGGGTACGATCCACTGAAGAATGGCGGTTGGAGTATTCCAGCAGGGAATGCTGAAAGCCTATGTTATGCTGATCATTTCACAATTCAAAATATTGTAAAGTAGAGATACCATAGCCAGAATCCTCTCTTCTTGAGAGGGGGCAAGCTCAGGAGTATTCGCTTCACTCACTTATGGCATTTTTCTCGGGAGAATAGAAGGCGTTGACGACAGCCGGAGAGACATCAAATTCATGACGATCGAAGGGTTTCAACAGTTTTCGGAATTCCTTCTTCTGCATCCAAACAACAGCTTTTTTCATCAAAGAGTAGTAGGTGTCTTCGGGGAGGATAACTAGCTGAAACATGATTCGTGTTGCTTTCAGGTGTCGCGGAGCAAAGTTGAATATGCGAACGCACCTCTTTGTACTGATCGTCAAGCTTTGATATGTCGTTGGTGATGTTTGGGTAGCCAATGTTGTTAATCATAGAATTCGCCTGAAGTACCAAGCACCAATTCTTTTATGAATTTTCCAGAATCGTTCGTACTTTTAAGGAGTAGGTTTTCAAAAATTAGTGTAGATAAGAGCGGTTTCCTTTGAGAGGATGCTTGATTGCAATCGCACGTATGCCGTCGACTTTGAAAAAGATAACTCTATGCTTTTTGTAACCACCTTTTCGATAGCCGTCTTCTTCGTGGACTCATCCATCCAATCATTGTGCCTGACCAAGTCCGCAAAAGATTCACGCAGTTTGCCGATCATTTCCTAAAAATACCGTTGACTACGGAAAACGTCCGTTGCGCGTGTCCGTCGAAAGTAGGTCACTCCGCCCAGTTCGCGCGCGGCGCATCACACTGAGGTCTCGAGATGACATTNTATCTTCTTCTTGAACTGACTGCCGTGGACCAAACGCAAAGCGTATGCCCCAGTGACAATTGCGACGTCTGTCAAATATCGCGGGCTAACCCTCCGCATGCGACGGCTGCGGCGTGACCTAGTTTCGCCGGACACGCGCAGCGAAGCGCACCCGTTGACACGGATCAATACATCAAAGAGCATAATTAGGAATGAGGCTGATTGTGCAGATTTTCTACTGGAAACTTTTGCATTAGAGAAGGGAATTGTGGCGTTGCTGCGCGAGAATAGAGCTTAGAAGACCGCAATGTCAACTCAATGTTCGTTCAAAATGCCCATTGCCAAAATGACACACACATCAAAATGCGTCTCTGCTATTCGGCTGACTTCAAGGGACACTGGCGTTGCGCGCATAGCGATCCCGTGGGTAAGGTACCATGAATGGCAAGGAACGGGAGGATGCCTCGTGGCCGTGGTAGGTCGTCAACTATGGGGTTTGATTTTGTCACTACATCATCTCTGTCATCATCGTTCGACATTGTGCTCGGTCCAGCTCAGTGTCTTGCCGGGAGCACGCAGAGTACAGGTTCGTATAGGTGGGCCAGGAAGGACCAAGTGTATTACTAATCCCTGCATGGAACAGGTCATCGTCAGTGTTGCTGCGAAGACAACAATACTTATACGAAAAGCCATGAGATACAGGGACCTAAAGGCTAAATTGTCCCATCTGGAGAGGCACTGAGTGTGGAAAGCGTGGTGTGTACTCCGACATCAATTTGCTCCGGCTCGACCGTCGCCTGGCTATCTACCATTGGAACGGGAGCCTGGGCACGGCACAACCGTCGCTTGTGAAAGGAACTCGAAGAGGTGATTGCTAGGGATTGGAGAGCGATAGGTCAAGTTTAGGAGTTTACATCCTACCTTTTAGCGGTGGTAATGAGGAGAAGGGGAAGCTGAGCTAAGTAATTGTGAGCACAATTAGGCTCGCGAAATCAGTGCTGAATCAAGTTTTACGCACTACTATTCTTGCATTGAATGAAGAGTTATAGCCGTGGCAGACTATGCGAGTTCAGAGATTAACTGACTTCTTTGTCTCGGCGAACATTTGAGCATCGGAGCTAGCACTGCTTAACTACCTAGTCATATACTATTGTCATCGATAGTTGTAACTTCCGTGGGAATCATAACGATACTTACCAGAGCCTCTCGTTTATCTTCAGAGTCAAAATGTGCCTGAACATAAATTGCTCCTGCTGCCAACGGTAATACCTGAAAATGAGTAGTATCATACAGGTTTGCTTCCTTTTTATGAAAATCCGAACCGAGCTAGGCACTTGTGCGCAATCTTTCCATCTCGGTGATCTCTGCTGCTGACCGGTCATCACTCGGGAGAAGTCCTTCAACACTGTTCATTTTACACTTATACACAACTATTTCTTCTGCAATCTATGAATATTAATTCAAAATCATAGCAATCCAATGACAGAAATGAGCATTTCCATTGTGTCCGTTAAACAGTCCATATTGAGCAATTCAATCAGCTCATTCTTATGTGACTCGCCAATAAATGAACGAAAAAAGCTCCTCCCTCTCCTCCCTGCTGTTCTCCTTCCTTCAAAAGAAAGGTGTGGGAGCCTGGGTCTGATTTGCCAGATTGATTTCTACATCCACGTTTTATTGGACGCTCCCAATTACTTTAATCAAATCTAAATTTCCGAAGAAATATGGTTGATGCCAAGCTCTCAAGTTTCAGAAAAAGCTCCAAAGAAGGCCTATCACGCAGAGAAAAAATAGAGGCTTATTATACCCCATTATAACTAGTAAGTAATCCTCGTTACTGTTATGACCATCGCAAAAGCGTCGCTATGTTTGGGAACTGCCCGGCAAATTGGATACGTATTAAAGTAGTGTATTTTTCCTCATAGGATCCTTAAGACATTTAAATGCTAAAAAATGTTGTGAACCACCTATGTCGTGGCTTCAGCCGACTTCTTAAGGAGCCACGCCTCGTAGCATCGGCGCGCACATGCCGATACGCGGGGTACCGGCGCGAACTGCGTATCGGCAAGAGTAGAGGTATGCTCAGGTCTGAAAACATCAGTGTCTACGTCTGTCGCCGCCGAATCTAGCTGCCACGGCCACGTCGCCCTGCCGTTGGAACTTGCTCAATGTCGAGACGACGGGATAAGATCAGCAACGTACTGATCGACCCGGGCGTGGAAGCCCGAAGGCGCGGAGCGGTTTTTCCCTCGCAAGTCGTGAAGCCCTGGGTTCGACCCTCGTGACGATTAGCTTATTTGATCATTGTCGTAATATTTGATTATTTCTTTTTCAATATAAATCGTATATTCATTATCTCTTTTCTTTCAAATCTATGCCGTCGTACACATGAAGGATTCAGATATATTGTATCCATTGCGTAATATGTACGCATCGAGAGATGCTCCATCCTGGGTGATTGATGAAAGTTTGGCTGCTTATGGATTAGACCATACGGACATCGCACGGGTAATGTTGGCTGCAGGGAAGGGCAACATCTGAAAGGGCAACATCTCGTGTGGCAAGGGACCGCGTAAGTTCCCGGTAAGACCCTCACGCCGATTCGACGCCGCTTCTAAGCCGGCGTAACCCTATGCCCATCTGTTGCGGGAGTGAAGCGTCGCTGCCGGCACGACAACCTAAAATGAGGTGTAAAGACACCAGATCAAAGACCACTGCCGCGTATCGCCTTTATCTCGCCTTTTTTTCTTTTTTGATAGTGAGATTTTCTGAATGTTCAAAATCAAGGAGTACACTTCTCTGTCAGTCACCAACCTGTTTGATGTTCTCGAATCGCTCGTCGAGAAATCGTACACTTGCTTGTACCACTCGCCAAATGATGTAATTCACGAGTGTCTCGCTATCAGTATCCTTGATGAGGGCCGATACCTGAAATGGTGCGTGCCCTATTAGAAAGATAAAAACAACAAAATGCATTGAGAGTGTTTGTTCAAGATTCCGGACCGAAACGGACCTTCCTTAAAAAGTCAATCTCAGCCACAATGATTTCAGTCTCATTGTTGAACATTCCGACCATTTCTGATGGAGCGATTTGTTGGAAGTATGTTACCCAGTTGACCTGAAAATCGATTGGAAGCAAAATTCTGACTTCAAATAGCCGGAAGAATTCTCAGAAAATCGTGTACGGAAATGTTTGGGCAAGTGAAGGGTTTTTATATTATACACTTATGCAAAAGGTTAGCCCAAGTGCAGATTTGTCCAAATTTTAAAGGCAAGTTCACGACAGTTTTGGGTTTTCTAGTTTCAAACGATAATGGGAGTTTAGTCCCGAGCAGTGCAAAAGTAAGGAAGAAAACGTGGAAATCGACGTATTTAGAGAAATATAAAGCTTCAAAAAAACAATGAAGTTAGGGGCCGGACGAGAATGTGACAACAGAAGTTGCTTGAAGGGGTATTTGAACGAGGTGTTTGAATGTGTTCACCACTGCACTGAGCTGGAAGTAGCAAGCCAACTGCCTGCAATGCATGGGTCCCGGTTCAAATGGTGCAACCTATACAGCTCTTACAACGCCTCAGATGTGTATGCCGGCTAAGCTGGTTTAAGCGGCCCCTACTACGCCCTATCTTGACCGCTTTTTATCCGACAGCCTCCCTAGGCTATCCTTTGAGGTCGCGGCTACATCCAAGGGAGAAATTTCAGGAACCATTTTTGACGTGCCTCTAACGTGCTTCACGATTACCTATGCTTGATCGGCTGAACACTTTCAAGCTCGACGTCCGTTCTGATATGATTGGTTCAAGAAACTGGAATTTGAAGAAAACTCGAGAGGAAACTCACATCATCCATGTAGTCATACAGATCAGCCATGACTCTTTTGTTATATAGTCTTGTGCTGTTTCGACGCTCGTCTTCGGGAACAACAATCTGGAATTTACTAGTGCTGCAAGATATGGATGGTACTAACTACCCCATCTGCAGTGCGTCCATTTGGGTCGCTCAAATGTAGTGCATCATGCATGGATAAAATTTGGTAGGGTATGACCGAAAAGAAGTCTGTGACATATCCACTTCCCTCCCAATTGATGCGCTCTCCTTGTCAGATAAAGGAGCAATGAGTAGTAGATCGATTGCGGTACAAATCGATATCGATTGAAAACTATTGATCGTTACTCTTCTTTGACAGCAAAAAACTAATCGCATCTTCGACTTCCCTTGAAATTCGAATACTCTACGTACAAAAAGAGCTATCTTATGAATACCTGGCCAACTACAGGATAAACTGGTATTGATCGATATCGATCGACTCTCGCATCACGTACTACACAACTAATACAATTAACACGTAATGGTGATAGTTATACTGCGATCACCTACCACTATAAGGAATAACCATACATGTTTTACTATGGAGTAGTTCGATATTGGCTGTACTCACCTCAGCCAACTTTTTCTCGAAAGCAATCACCGCATCAATATTGGCTTCAACCGACGTCTTGTTATGAGGGACGTTGGCATCTTCTTGGAGGATTTTCACAATCTAAATTCGCTTTTTCACTATCTTCTCTAACGAGTTAGTTTTCCTTCCATATAAATTTTACCATAACTTTTATATAAACATATCACTGACTTATAAATATCGCTCGGTAATTTTTTCTATAGTCTGAATGTCATGCGATAGAGGCACAATATACTAAAACGACAGTTACTAAAAAGTTTTTGCCGCTTATTAAGTGGGGATACAGTACTCTCTGAAACGCATAGTTCAGTGATCAATGAGTGTGGTAGCTACTCCCCAAAAATCACATCCGTTCGCGCGCAGTCGCGCGATAAAAAGGGGAAATTGGTGTCCCCAGTGGTACCCGCCGTAAATCCACTGCCGCTTAAAGATTCGGGGAGAAGTAACGCCAACCTATCTCTTTACACAAAGTCCATGGGGTAGTAGACCTTTAGATATACTTATTTCGAAACCGACAATATTTTCAATGATAAGATCTATGAGTTCAACTTCCCCCAAAAGCGGTAGTCACTTCAGATCAGATGAACTAATTGTTTTCGGTCGGTTAACTCCTTACACCAGCTAACTGCAGTATTAAACGTTTTGCTACCTGAACTTGACAACGGACCACGCAACGTCTTACCTCGAAGAAATACTTTCTGTATGCTTGCATATGGTTCGCAAACATGGTGTTGTTCAAATAGTAGTCTCGTGCTCCTCTGCCGAGTGATAGAGAAGCTTGATCAACCTAGACATCCTTATGTAAGCTAAAAAACGGTCGTTTTTTTGTTAACCACTCACGAATAGAGTATTTCTTGAAGTGTTCTTTGCATCTGCATAGATGTATATCTGAAAGAACGACTCGGCACCGTAGTCGCGTCTTGCGATCGCCATCAGATCTGCAATGATACTGTTGGGGCCAATCAGGATTAACGCTCCATTTAAGCAAACCTACCTGTCAGATCGAACGTATCCCGTTGCCAACTCGACTGCAGAAGTGGCCAGGAACCAAGCTCCGATAACGTTTCAAAAAGTAAGCTGGAATGAGTGAATTTTTTGTAAAAGTTGACGACTCAACACCACTTTTTGCTGACCAAGTTTTGGGACAAAGAGGTAGGCCTGTCTTTGAGCTGATGCTTAACATTCGATTTAGCCAAAGGGAATAGTTTCATTGAACTTTTACCCTCTTTTTATGTTGACGTTAACGGTGCACAGGGAACGTCCTTCTCAAAAATTTTCTAGCTGCGACTGAAATAGGATGAGATCACTCTTCAAAAATTAGTTATTAGAGTTTTGTGTTTCCCAATTTGCATCAGATAATTTCTCATTCCACGAAACTACCAGACTATGGGAGACTGTTTGCGAGCTACTTTCTTCTTTACGTTTCCTCATTTTACACGGAACATAAACAACGCATTATTGACCAAAAAAAAAACATAGAGAGAGGTTGTTTCAAAATATGGAGCACTCAACATACTCGTCATTTACCTTGTTTTCAGCTCCTCCAGTTGGGTCTTGTTCATGCAGGTTTTGTAAGCTATTC